TCGGAGCTGCTTGTGCCCAAGCTCTGCAGCCTGTCTGAGGCCAGGATGGGACCCCACCATAGTACCAGCAGCCTTTAAGGGGGCTGGGGGATTGCTACCATGGTCCTTGCTGCAGCAAGGCTAGCACTTGCCCCCAGGCATGCCCATGGTGCATTCGCCCCATCTTGGCAGTATGACACAGGCTCTCTGTGACTCAGAAGTCTGAATGCTGCTTCATATGGCGATAGCCGTGCTTTGTTTCTTTAATTAATTATTTTTAATAGGCACGTGATGGGGGTGTATGAGGAAGGGAGGGCTTAAATAGAGTTTGCAAGGTTATTCCTTCCCTGAGGCTGAGCTGCGTGCAATCAGCCCATCTAACTTGGATTTTTCTGTTTGTCTTTGGGCTCCTGCTGCTGAGCTGGGGTGACCTTGGCAGCATTGGCTGCAGGGGCTCTCCTTGGCCACCCTGGTTCTCCTGCCTGTCTTGACCACACTGGACAGACCAGGGAGTTGTGTTTAATTCGAAATTCCCTCAGGCTAAATTAAGGTGAAGGGACACCAAATGATCAGTTAAAGATTTTATTCATGACAGAAGCAAACTGAACTGGGGAGGCGTGGTAGTAGGTGGTGGGGTTTCTCACAACAGGAACTGGCATAAGACTACTTCTGTAAACCGTGTAACCCAGGGTAACCATATACATCAGTTCAGGGAATAAGGAGATCCCTCCCATTGGGTCACAAGGTGCAGAGCAGACCCCCTTGCTTTCTAGACACTTCCTCAGAGAAGGGCCCAGGGGTGGCTGGATCCACTCTTAGTCCCAGACTTGGTCAATGGTTTTATGTCTTAAAGGGATGAGGTGTAGGCATTGTGGAAAAGGAAAGAGAGAAGAAGACAGAGAGAGAAAAAGGAGGAGAGAAAGATTTCACTGGTCCTGGGTCCAGCGTTGGTCCAGTCGGCTGAGGGGTCCAGTCCCAGTGGGCTTGCGCACTTGGGGCTTCAGTTTCTGTCCTTTTATCATTCTTGTCCCTCCTTCGGGCCGGCACCCAAACTTGCCACGTTAATGAGCAGTTTGTGAGCCTTTGGGCTTGGGGGTCGTTTGTGGAGTAACTTCTCCTTCCCTGCAGACGTGGCCATTGTTTGATCTTTGTATCAGAAGAGCTTATCAGAACAGGGAGCGGCGCACCCTCCAGCACGCCCTCCCCCTCCTGTTGCTGATGTCTGAGCTGATGGGCTTTTCACCTTGGTTCCTTGCTGTGCAGGGTTTGTCTTTAAGCAGAACTTGCCCCACCACAATGTTTGAGACATTAACTCTTTCAGTCTCTCACACTGCCCCAACCTGTTGCTGACAAAGTGCCACTGAGGACTCCAGCGTGGGCAGAAAACGGTGCTGCCCGGCCAGCGGGTCCCACACCCCCCTCACCCCAGCAGACGAGCTGCTTGGTTATGGGGTAGGTGTCCAATTGCAGCCACTCTTGCCCGGGTGCCTCTGCTCCCTTTGGCAGGGTCGGTGCGCTTAGTGCAGCGGGGACACCTCAGTGCTCTCACCTGGCTGCTTTGGCAGCCGCCGGCACCTCCAGTTTTGCCATGGGACGTCCCCTCCTTGTCCCCCAGCCCAGCTGCTCCCAGCACACCCCGGGTGCAGGAGCTCAGTGTGGGGCCATGGGGGTAAGGGCCACACTTAACCCCTGGGCACCAAGTGAACCTTCCCTGCAGAAATACCAAGTTGGGGGTTTTTTTTGGCAGTGTAAGGCTTGTATTTAAGGGCACCAAAAGAAGTCCATGCACAGGTAGAAGTGCCCCTGCTGCCCTTTGGGTTATCCCTTTGCTCTCTCTCCAGGTGACAGCGGTTGAGCTCATTCCTGCTGGGATGGTTGGTCCTGTCTTCTCCTCGTTGGTTACAGGACTGCCCAAGGAGAGCCTTCACCTCCGCTCACCACCAAACCCTGGCCAAAGCAGCACCCTACACGGTACGTAGTCCCACAGGCCAGCCGCACCAAAGCCTCATTGCCACAAAGACAGACCCATCCCGCAGGGCTGCGTTTTGGTCCCGTTGGCGATCCCAGCAGTGCGTTTGTACCCTTCACCCGACCACCATCTTCCTCCCAGAAACACTCCCCGCTCCCAGCGGGGTGCTGGGGCAGGACCGAGGGGGTGACACCCTGGCGTCTGGGCATCTCCTCGACTGCCATGGCCTTGTTGCACGTCAGGAGCCGCCACATTCCCAGTTCCAAGTAGAGGAGAAAACCAAAACCAATTACACTTTATAGCTGGCCTAGACTACCTTGAGATTTTCTGCTCTAGCAAGAAAAACGATGCGGTGAAACAGCTAAAAAAGCCGCAGACCTCTAGGAGCCCCTCATCAGAGAAATGCTTCCCAGCACCCCAAGTCTTTCAGGAAATTAAAATGCTTGTAGTTGGGATCCCCAGTCACACGGTGTCCTCGTAACTCCGTTTTCCTCCCCGTCCTGCAGCGTGTTTCGGTGCGACCCGGGGCGGGGGGGTCGGCCCCGGCCGCTCCGCTTCGGCACGGACAGAGCGTTTCCAGACCCGGAACGGTCCAGCCCGGGCTGAAGGTGGTTGCTTCAGAAATACGAAGTGGCCGTTTTCTGTTTGCATGGGCAGGTTTTGCTTTGGAAAGTGGTATTTAGGCAGGGGGAAAGCCAAAGGTATGACCTAAATGGGTTGGATTGTGGCTGTTGGTTGGGGTTTTTTTTTAGAAAAAGCCCAAAGGTGGGTATTTCCAAAGGTCCTACGTGACCCAAAAGACGCCCTGTTGCAGACCAAATGTCAGCAGGGTATTGCCCTTGGCAGACCACGGCCGAGGCCGGAGGGATGCTTTTACTTTGCTGTTTGGGGCAATGGGTCAGGTCTGATGGGGATGCCGGGGGACAGGCTGCCCATCAAATACAACATCACAACCGGGACTGTCTCCAAATTGTCACCATTGCAGGAAAGGTTAGAAACCAGCTGGCTAAAAGGCAAAGCCCAGAGCATGCTGTGCCCTCGCTTTCACACCAGAGAGACCAAAGGGGCTCCCAGACAGCCAGATATTGCCTAAACACCCACAGATGGCACAACGGGGAGAGAGCGTCTGTCTGTCCTTGCCACTCACTGTGCCATCAGCTTTTAAGAGCTACCTGCAGGGAACAGGATTTAGGAAAGGAAAAAAAAAAAAATCCACGCAAAAATCCAGCCTTTTGTGACTCTGAATCTGACCCCAAATTATGATTCATGACCAAAAGCGATGAAAAGAACTTGTGGTGACTTGAACAATGAGTTTTCCAAGCAGAGGCAGTACTAAACGGGGAACACGAGACTCCTGAGAAAGCAGGAGGAATGCACTCCAAGCCTGAACGCTGCAGATGAAATTTATTGCATCATATAATCTCTTCTTGTGCTTTGAGTTTCAGCTGGACAGGGAGATACTAAGCACGAGAAAGGCCATTTCCATGAGATCTCCAGTCCAGACTGGGAGAAGCAGTCAGACGGCCAGGATCACCAGCAATTTTATTTACTTTTCTTTTTTCATTGCTTTGCTAAACCCATTCTCCAAATGGAGCAACCAAGGAGGGAGTGTCAGCATAGAGATGCCAATCAGAGGCAGAGAGGAAAAAGGTTGAGCTATAAGAGCTGAAAGTTATTAGATGAAAACATTATTTTTAGAAGAGCCTGAGAGCACTGGGGTTTTATAAAACCTCCCATTGTATTGCACTAGTAAGTCAAGTGTTCACAGCCGAGCCAGCAGACACACTCTACAGCATCTATTACCGGCGTGTTTATTTACAAAAAGGCAGCCACTGAGCCAAAGCTGAACAGAAAAGAGGAAAGACTGAAATATGGTTTTAAAGAAATACAGCTCCTTGGACTGGTTTTAATTTAAAATCCTAGGACTGAGTTTGTCATTTTCTTTTGTGTTTCACCCCCTCTTCCCCATTTCTTCTTCAAGGAATGAATTGTCCAAAACCAGCCAGGCAAAGAGGAATTTTCCTCTAGGTGTCTCTGTCCCCATTTTTATTCTCAATTTTTTCTCATACGCACACACACACGCACACACACATGCACACACTCTTCTCTGGCCTTCCCCGTCCAGCATCACCTCTTCATTACCACAGCTATCTATCATCTCCCACATCCCAGCAGAGTGCTCCCAGAAGCACTTTATAACCCAAACCTGCCCCGGCACCTTTCTCTGTGCCCTGGTGCAATGTGGCCACCCCACGCGGGAGGCAGTGGCCACGCGTGGGAGCAGCACGTGGTGGCAGGGGACGAGAAGCTGAAGCTGTCGCTGCCAGCTGGGTCCTGCCAGCCCAGCAGGGCTGTGGGCGACGTGATCTCATCTGGGCAGACGCCTCCACCCGTGCTGTACATGTGGCTTTGGGAAACAGTTATCGCCTGCTCTTAAAAACCAGGAGGCGTGCCGCCTGGATTTATTGGATTTGACCAGAAAGCCAAGAGACTCACACACACACACACACACACAGAGGCACTGAGTGCTCTGGTATTGTAATTCAGGAGAAAACACTGTGTCGTTATCATCCTATACCTGCTGCAAACCTGCTCCTCTCTCTCTCTCTGCGGAGTATTTTGCATCCAGAGAGCACACGGAAGGTGAGTAACAAAAAAGCCCTCCAGGCTTTGTCAGGGAGAAATGTGTGGTCACAGTAACACACCACTTCCCCAACAATGGGGGATGGTGGGGGAGGACGGAGGAGAACAAGGCGAAAAGAAAAGGTGGGAGCAATTTTAAACGAAAGGAAAAACTTACATTAAATTATTGCTTTATTTCTGGTTCTATGAAAGTCTCTGACATGCTCCACCCTACCCCCAAGATGCCATGTCTGCCCCCAAACAGCCCAGTAAGGAAGAGAAAGACCTAAAGGGATCCTGCCCAAAAAAGGAGCCTTCCCAAGACTTGGATCTACAGAGGAGTTTCTTAGTTAAAAAGAAGTCCCCAGCCAAGGCAAGCCCTCCTACCCAGCAGTGTCTGGTCCCGTCACCATCCCCTATAGGTGTTGAAGGGTGGGAGGGAAAGGGTAGGAAAAGCTCTAGCCCCAGTGTTTTGAGAGTTGTCCTCCCTCCAGACCATGCATGAATGAGGCATCAGGATGTGGAGCAGACCATAACAGAGAGGGCACAGGGGAAAAGTCAAGGAAGAGATGAGCACAGGGTGGGAGGAGAGGAATTGTGGCAAGATGAGAGTTACCCAGCTCTCCTTCGCCTCTCCCCCCAACCCCTGCCTCATCGGATGCGGAGGTATGAGGGGATGGAGTAATTGAAGAGCAAGTAGTCCATTTTGTATAAATTAAAGAGTCTCCTTTGGTAGAAGGGGCTAATGTCCTGGAAGAACTGGGCCGTCATGTCATCTGTCGTCCTGGTGGTCTTGGATGAAGATGGGAACTTGACGCTCATGTCGGCCCCAACCAGCTGGAGGATGTAGTTGGCGTCTTCAGCCAAGGTCTCATACTTGCCCACCACGTCGTAGTGGACGATGCAGGGGTGGCAGAGTGAGTGCACCCGCTCCCAGTGCTCGTTGAAGGGCTCCTCCCGCTGCGTCCGTGGATCCAGCAGGTAGTAGACGAACTCCTCGAAGCGCACGTCGTCCCCACGCTCCAGGGCCTTGTCGCTGGGCTCCTGCCGGTGCCGCCGGATGATCTTGGTGCCGTACCGCTTGTGGAAGGCCGTGTTGTAGCTGCGGGTAAACTTGTTGCGGTACGCCGAGACCAGGCGCTCAAAGGGCTCCCGCACAAAGATGAACTTGAGGTAGCTGCGCAGGCGGTGGTTGATCTCGGGGATGCTGTACTCGGAGAGGGTGCGCAGGTTCGATGAGACATGGGCCTCGTTGGCGGGGATTTCCAGCGGGTCCCGGTACTTGCCTTGCCCTGTCAGGACCATCATCACCCGTTTCCAGTTAGTGCAAGCCACTTTGGGCACGTAGCAGTAGAGCAGCCCGTGCGTGTCATCCACCACCAAGTGCCGCAAGTCATCCGGACGCAGGAGACGCCGCTTGCGGGTGTAACGGTTGCAGATGTTGCTCAACAGCTCCCGTCTCTGCTGGTGAACCGCCTGCAGTGATGACTGCTCAAACTGGGGAGAAAAAAAAAACCAAGATGGTCACTAGCTTGCCCAAGCTGATCGTTGCCTACACGCAACACTTGGCCCACAACTGTCCCCATCCCCTCCCCTTTTCTGCGTTTGGCAGTCACCCATGTGAGATTTTGGGGGACAGCGTTGACTTTGAACACAACTTGCTTTGGTGCATTTAATCCTTGGACCTGCTGGGGGCAAAAGACAGAATAAAATGTGATGAGGAGCCAGATGAGAAGACAAGTCAAAGGGGGTGAGGGAAGAACAGGCGGTGCAGAGAGGGTCAACAACCAAACATTTGTTACAGCACCCTACACACACACTGGGCTAAAGCTCTCCCTTAAAGGAGCCCGGAGGACAATACGTGGCCCGACCCCTCCAGGGGCAAACAGCACAGCCCCTTCGCTGGTGCAGGGCCCCGCACACCTCCTGGCTGCGATGGGGCATCGCTGACGCCTACAACCGCGGGCTCGCTGCGAACACCGCAGCCAGGAGGCAGAAACGTGGCACACAAGCGTGGGCATGCGTGATGAAAATGGCACGGGTGTGCTGCCAAGGAAAGCCAAAGGGAGGCGGGTGGAGGAAAATGGCCTTTAACACTGACGGTTGAACCCTGGGGAGCAGATGGGGAGCTGAAGGGGAGGTGGGGTGGCAGGGCATGATGGAGGGGAGCGAGGTGCTGCTGGAGGTGGTGGTGGGGCCCTTCCTGAGGGCTGTGGGTTTCTTCTCCTGAGGGACGTTTTCCACACAGGCCAGTCTGATCCCTCAGCGCTGGTCACAGGCTCCTTTGTCCACAGGGATGAGAAGTCCACATACGGTCCTTTTTCTTTATCCTTTTTGACCCATGCATCAAGGCCTGGCACTTGCTGCACTGGCATCCCAGGAGCCCAGAGTCCCCAGCCCCTGCCCCAGATGAAACGCCCACCTCCAGATTTGGGGACGTGACCCTTCGTGTCATGGTTTTCATCAGAAATCCCAAAATGTCATTAAAACATCTGGGGGAAGGAAATTATTTCTAGGCACTCAGAAGAGGAAGGTCCCCTCCTCCGCCTGCCCACTCCCTCCCCGTTTTGCTCACGAGGTTGGGAGGTTTCGCGTTCAGCCCCGAGGTCCTCGCTGGGAACCTCCAACAGCCTCGTCCAGACCACAACCGCTAACAGCTTCACCGCCCATTTGCTAACCCGAGGTGGATCTGACCCCGCGGAACCGCTGCTCTAATACAATGCAATGACCCCCTGCATGTCGCAAGATGACGTTGGCTTCCACTTTGTGGTTGTGAAGAAACTGCTGCCAGCATCACAGGGTGCCACGACAAATGTCTGTAGCCTGCAGAGATGTGGCAACCCCAAGATGAAGGGCAAGGGCAGGCCACCTCCTCGGTCCCTACATCCTTGCTGCTGACAGCGGTCATCGCTTAGGCATGCCAAAGGACACCCTTTGCCAAACTTCAGGTGCACCTTCACCTCTCCCTGGGGGATGATAAGGGGTTTTGGGAGGCACTACAGCCTGGGATAGGCAGGGTTGTGGAGATGGGGCTTCGTAAAGCTTCTGCCAGGAGTTGGGATCCTGAGACAAACTGCCCATCCCACGGATGATCCAGCAGGCTCATCATCTTCAGAAGGGCACTAACACCTGGGCAAAAAGCTCCTCCTGCAAGGGATGAACCACACTTATACCCTTTTGGATCTCATCTCCACAAAAGAAATGACCTTGTCCAGGTCACCTTACTGACCACTTTCTCCAGAAACCTGCATGGGCAGTAACCTGAGACAGGATAGGAGAAAGCATCTCATCCCTGCTCCTTCCAAGAGGGAGATAATAAGGGAAAATGCTCACATGGAGGAAATGCAGGTCAACACACTCTAACTGCCACCAAAAGATGACTTTCACATTGTTGGCTACTTGGATATGAAGAAGATACAGCACCTAGGGAGGTGATAATCATAGCTGAAGAGGCATTCTTATGGTACACCTCTTTGCGACACAGCCAAACCTTTCAGTAGAAATTTCTCTTGTTTGGATGTTCCCCATTACTTCTAAAATTGGAAACCATTTTTGCAAGTGCTTAAAAAAAAAAAAAAGAGGCATTTTAATAATGTGATTTTTTTTTCAGGTATTTTTCCATGCACTTGCATAATTCAAAACTATTGGACCAGAAAGACAGACAGACAGTCTGCAGGCATGGCAACAAATAAATGTGACTACTTTTCAACAGCCGCCCACTGGAATAAGTGCATGTCTTGCAGTTATTTCAGAGCGGAATTGCTCCCTTCATTTCCTTCTCTTTAAAAGCCAGAGAAATTAAGTATCACTTTTAAGGAAATAACACCACGACATTCCAGCAGCATTAGGGTTTGCCAGCATTGTGGCCAAGGAAGTCCACATTTGCCATTTTTCCCAGAGCAAATGTAATGTGGCTGCTTATAGACTTAAAAGCATCAACCTCGACAGTAACACAAAGCATCGCGTATGGAAGGGAGATCTGGCTCCAGCTGCAGGGACCGCCACCGTTGCCTTCTGCTTCTTGGGGGCTGCAGAAGATGACTGCCCAGTGGACGTGGGGAGATGCAGGGCACATCTGGTAGCTGGGGCGTGTGGCAATGGCCCAGCCCTTTGCACCGGTTGGCGGGTGGTTTCCTGCAGGGAAGTTGTGGGTGAGGATCCCTCTGCAAAGGCAAGTCTGGCTGCATGGGGGGAAAACTGCCCACCCAGGGGGGAAATGCAGTAGAAGGAAACAAACACACCTTTTGCAGCTTCAACCCCAAACCCCCAAGCTCCCATTCAGCTGCTAAGGGCAAGCGGGACGCCCTCCCCGACACCGTGTCACCGATGCCAGTTGGGCTGCACGCACTGGGGGCTGGCGAGGGCCAGTGCTCTCTGCCTCAAGCTTACCCTGCAGCAGACCCTTGCACAGGCAGGGACCCACTAAGCCCACCTGGAGGGAGCGTTTCCCTGCCCACACGGTGCCTGGCTGCCCCTTTCTCAGCAGGTGTAGCTGGCACAGCTCAGGGTGATGGAGAGGACTGAGACATCCCAGGATTATAAACGCCTCACGGCTGGGTCCAGCTTTATATATGTGCGTATATAAATATATATGCATATATGTGTGTGTGTGTATATAGCACCCAACATAGAAGCATCTCCCAATTATTAGCTCAGAAAGTGCAGCAATGATGCTCTTGCCCTGCTATGATGGCCCAGAGTCGGCTTTGAATGCTCAGATGGTGAAATCTCCCGCGTTTGCCCAGCTATGGCTCAGCCCATCAATAATTAAACCACTTGCCCAAGTACCAGCAAGGGCCAAAAGCAGTTTTTTATCAACAATTACTCCCCAAAGCGGTGTGGTCTTTTCTTTTGGACACAGCCAGAGGTTCAGGTATGGGGACCTTGGGTGTGTTTGGACACAGTACAGTGCCCTGCACACCGGAGGGGTGGAAGAAGGGGTCAACCTCCAGCACCCCACTCCCTCTTCACTCCCCCCATCTCCCTCTCCCTGGCACTTTACCTGGTCACTCTCGTACAGGGCCTGGAGTGGGCTGCGACCAGCTTTCCCCTGCCAGGTAGATCTCATAACTCTGTCTTCTGCAGCTGGAAAAAGAGGGAGAAAAATCAGAGGGGTTGGGAGGGGCTGCTTCCCTCACCCTCTCTGGAGATGCCCAAGTTGGGATGAGACATCGTCCCTTGAGAAGAGACAGATCTGTTTGCCTCTGGGAGAAGATGCTCAAGCAATGCTCGCCCCCCCCCCCCCTTGTTTTTTTACAAAACCTGCAGTTAGCATTCAAAAGGTCCAGATCTAACCTTTAAACAAATAAAAGACCATAAATAAAGATAACGGGTTGTTACAATTTCAAGAGCAACTGGGAACAGTTTGATCCACGTGCATTTGGGAAATGGCACTGCGTGCAGGCTGCATTGCTGAGGGAATGCCCCAGGAGGTGCCCAGCATCACCGCAGCCCCATGAGGGGTGAGACAGCATCTGTGCTTGGTAGAAGCAGATCCAACACCGGCAGCTCTGTGCTGAGCCCCCACGGGCTCGGAGTTTGCATTTCCAGGCTCAGAGACACGGTCATTAATACACGAATTGGTCAGATGCTTCATTTGACTGATAAGTCGTTTTAAGTTCTTATTTGCTATTTATTTTTTTTTCTTCCCTTCTAAACCAGCAACATCTCCTCAAGTGTTTGAAGCTGAAGACAGCCACCCAAGCAGTCCTCGCCCCTTCCCTGCCGTGCAGATTGGCTGGTTTGATTTCGGAGGTCTATTTGCAGCAGCACGAAACTGGAAGCTGGACCTGGCCAACCACGAATGTGGTGCCGGACACCCAGTCGGTGACAGATGCTCAAGTTCTCATGCTCATAAATTACGCAGGGATGCAATCACCTTCCAGGATATGAAGCATCCACTTCAGCTGCCATCCCTTAGCCCCAGGGACCTGCTTCCAGCACAGCGTGGGCAGAACCACGTGGCCTGGATATCCCAAACCTAATGCATGGAGCCAGCCACGACATGGGTGCAGGATCTCGCTTGCAGTAACACCAAGCAGCGGTCCCACCTGTCCCACCTCTCACCCACCCTCTGCTTCTTGTGTCTGACGCTCTCCACTGGCAGAGGATGCCACGACAGTTTTCATATGAGAAGAAGGATTCTAACCATGGGTGTTGTACAGCCCTGGAATTGGCTTCCACAGAAGAAATCACACTGTGAGTTTTAAAATGGAAGATGATGTTTCTTCTGAAGGGGATGATAGGATACATTGTTCAGGAGATCGTGGCCTGGGAGGCTCTTCCAGTCCTCCAAGTTCCTGCTCCTACAGGGACCTTCTAAAATCTCAGCGGGATGTATACGGTGGAGGGAAAAGCATCTCTCACAAACCATTTCTGGCAACATGAAAAGTTTCTAACAGAGGCTTTTTGCACAACAATTTGGGGCTCTGGATCTTTTCGTTCACTGACCCTCACCAAACAAAACTGAATTTATTATACAAGCCCTAGATGGCATATTTTTAACCAAAATAACCAGAGGGAAAAATCCAAATCCCATCTTCATTTTCACGTGCTTATATTTTGCTTAAATGAAAGCTGCTCCAAAGCACAAAGTCACCAGGGTCTAAGCTAAACATTATTCATTCCTGGAGCTGTAATTAGGGGGAAATGACTGCCTGACCTCACAAGATTTCATCAGCAGTGCACGTACGCTTGCGCGTTGATGGGAAATGATACTTCCTGCAGCACTGGATTGATCGAGATGTGACTCAACGAGAAGATACAGTTTCTTCCTCAATCACCTGTATCAGTTACCCCACAGGAGCATGAAACGGCATCTGTGCTAATGAGAGATAAGCGGAAGATCCAATGTACACAGTGCTGGGCTGAGATGCTTGTCCCAGAGGAGCCCCGTTTCACATTTCCAGGCTCAGCCCTCTGCAAATGACAGGGAATAAGATCGACCTTGAAAACTCAACTCACTGCAGCTCAAATCTGCGAGCAGAGAGCATTAAGCTCGAGTCCCTTTCCTGGCTAGGGCTGATAAACTCCTGTTCGATTTAAGACTGTGTCCCTGCTGTGGGCTGTCTGCAAGCACCCTGCACCACAGCAGACACCTGGCCTATATTTAGTAAAAACAACGTGGAGGCATTTGTTTTCGAGATTAACACGTGCATCAACCAGAACCCACCTTATGAGGGACATAAGCAAAGCCCCGGTGGTTCAGGCTGACCTGAAGCTGCTAGAAATGCAAATTGCTCATGTTTCCACTGCGCAGGGGTGCGTGGAAACGGCATCTCGGGGAAAGCCACAGTGCCCGGTGCAGGGTCAGGTCATGGCCCGGGACGAGCGGGCTGGCTCGGCAGGACGCTCTTTAGGGTGAACAAAAAGCAAATCTGCAGTAAAGCGGGGAGCGAGCAGAGGTCAGGCAGGTCAGATCCGAGCTCTGGGCTGTGCCTTTCGACGCTGCTGAGGCAGGGCAACAAGCCTGGCCAGGGACTGCTGCACTTCACATGATTCTCACCAACAGCCCCAGCAGAAACGTTGCAAAATGGATTTCCTCCAGCCTTTCCCCAGCACAAGGTCTGGCAGAGAACAAAGCATCTTCTCCGGATAGCAGCAAACCCCCTGGGATCCCCGCTACGCTCATGCTGTACAGCGTTCCAGAAAAAAAAGGGAAGAGAAAAAAAAAGGAAAAAAAGCTGTCAGGCTGCTCCCTTGCGGCTGGAGGAGCCCGGGAGCGCTGAGCTGGCAGGGGGAAGACGCCAGCGCTGCATCTTGACAGCTTTTGCTCTCCAAAGCGATGACACCATCCCCTGCCCGGGGCGCTTGCCAAACCCTTCAGAGCAAACGTCTGGCCCAACGGCAGGTTTTTACGAGGCTCCAACTGCAGGAATTCTCCCCCCTCAGAAACCGTCTGCTCGTGCTACACGCAGAGTCCCAAGGAGAAAAGCCAACGAGCTCCTGGCTGGGCCACGAGGATGACTGCTGAAGACAGCGTTAAACCCTGCAGCAGAGGGGGAGATGCAGCAGCTGCAACCGCGTGCAGCTCAGCACGGCACCGTGCCGGCACCAGTGCATGCGGAGGGCAGCAGTGGATCTGTGCGCCCCGTGGGACTGAAGCGTCCATCCTCTGCAGGGCTGCAGTCAGAGCGGCTGCAAATGCCTGCAGCTGGCAGCGTGTGCTCAAACGGAGACAAGTCTGGGCTGCCTGTCCCGAAAGCATCCCCAAAATGTCTGGGATCGCCCTGCAGAGCAACATTGGCCGTCACATCAGAAGGCAGGCCGGGGCTGCTGCGACCTGCCTGAGCCAGTGGGAGGCTGTAGATGGTGATTTAACGGAGTCCAGCCTCCCTAAGACCAGGCTTTGCCACCTAACACAGCTCTGCCCCGTGACCCCAGGCTGTGGCCATCCCCTGTTCACCATCCCTCAGCCCCAGCACCTGCAACATCTCTGCTGCTACACTCCTCTCCCAGTCCTCCCCCCGTCGCCAGTCCCCGGATCCTCATCATGCAGCTCTATGAACACAGCTCAGCCTTAATTTGAACACAAACCCCCTCTTCCCTGGCTCCTCCATCCCAACCACCTCATCATGCAATCCCACAGCGTGCTCCCATCCTGGGGTCTCTCCCCATCCTGTCCCCTAATTGCTGTCCCCATCCTGTCCTCACCTTCACCGCATACCCCAAGCAGGCAATGGCCCACCTGAGGAAGGCTGAGCTCAAGGGGCTCCACGGCTGGCTGAAATGCACAGCTGGAGAGGAAACCACACATGGAGGGGAAGGTGGGGAAAGGCTCGATTCTTGACCTGTGCCTGTTTCTTCCATCAGATCTGGGATACAGCTTGGACTGTGAGGAGGAGAAGGGAGGACGGGGGCAGATGGGCAATGGCATCTACACATCCCTCTTCTTCCACTTGTTCCTGCTGAGAGCGAGTCAATCACCCCATCCCCTGTACCGCTGGCTTAGCCATCCCTGGGATGCTCCTGCGACTCCAAGAAGTTTGGGAAGGCCAAGGAATACTGAAATATATGACACTGTTGAGGAGGGAGTATCATCAGAGTAAACTAATGGTTCATGCTACATTTTGGCACCACGGCCCTGAGTACAGCAGGATCTTCCATCATGGCGGAGCTGCCAAGATCTTTGCATCCTGGCTTTCCTCCTGACTTTATAGCTTGTTACTGAGGTTCTCAGATTCCACCATATGCAGTGGTAACACTTGGAAATTTAGCATCGCCACAATTGCATCCGAAAGCAGGCAAGTCACTTAGCCAAGGTATATCAAGTTTCTGAAGGGGAGAAAACATCAGTCCTTGGCAACTGCTGGATCACCATTTGCATAGCAAGTATCAAGACAGTGTACGTCCATGAGCCAAATCCAAAATGTTTTTCACTGAGATGGGCAGAAGGAAATATCACATTTGTCCTTTGCATCTTCAAAGGATGAGGCAAGGGAATAGGAGTGATGCAGAGCAAGAAACCGAAAACCCCATGCTAAGGCAGTAACATTGACCAGAAATCACCAAAAGAGATGAGCCTGAAAGGGAGCTCAGGCCCATTTTGGAGTCTCCTGCGCTACAAGTGCTTTCAGTCTTTCCTTCGGAGCTTAAAAAGGCAACGTGCTCCCTCCCTCCTTTCCCCCTACAGCTCCAATTTTAGTGCCATCCCATCCAAACTGAAGCTATTCTCTTGCAGTGGTGTGACATCAATACCACAGCAGGATCTGGAGTTTCAGTGACTTGCCAGGTCTCTTTGGAAAAGGGAATAGATTTTAAAGCTGTGACTATTTAGGTGTACTAGCTGATTGCAAAGACAGCCAGACATGTGTGAGGTGAGGGAAAGACTGGATCATGACCATCCCAGACTTCTGGAAGCACCAGTGAAAGAATTTGCTGTTTTGGCTGCAGAGACTCTTAATTATGGAGGGAGGTTCTCTGCAACCACAACAGCAAATCCAGCGCCTGAGTTGAAGAGTTTGGCTAGGAGACAGGATTCAGGCAGCGACAAGCCTGCTAGGCTGACATCAGCATTACCAAGACTTTAGAAAACAGTCTGAAGGAAAGAAAACAATTAAAAGATGTGGGTGCAACTAGACAGGGGAATAAAATCAACATGGCATTTACTAAGCACAGTTTATACTCATGCAACCTAATCTGTGAATAAAATAAGCCATTTCTGTACATCAAGCATATGTGGTAGATCTTCACCCAGATATACATAACACATGAGATATGACTTACCACAGGAAACAAATACTGCAATCAGAGAAGATGAAATTTAAAAGGTGAATTGTAAGGGACACAAGCAACTGGAAAGCGGGTGGTGTTTAAACGGGAAATGCTGGGCAGAAGGCAGATTTCTAGTAAAATATCTTCAAGTTTGACTTTGGGATCAATATTTCAGGAATGAGTTGACACAAAAACAGAAAGATACTGATGATGGACAAAGCATTGAGAAAGGCTGCCATGGCAGGGAGACACTGAAATACCAAACACGGAAACTAAAGCTTTGTCCTGGACCAGGACAAAGTGGAAATGCAACAGAATTTAATTTTGCAGTGTTGGAATTCAGCAGGTTCTGCTACTTTGCTACTGAAGTGGCAGGAGGTCCCAGATGCATTAGTTCTGCGCTATCAGCTGCCAGTGTAACAGTCATAAAAAAAGGTAAATGAAGTCCTGAAACCTATCATCAGGCGAGGTATTTGCCACAGCAGCAAAAAAAGCATGAATACTACTACCCATAGCATTGGCGACCCTCACCCGCAGCACTGACAGCTCTGCTCTCCCAGGACCAGGGCAGATCCAGAGCTGCTGAGAAGTGACCAGTGTGAGATGACCAGGCGATCCCAGGACTTGCTGCCCCATGGGAGGTTGCAAGGGCTGCATGTGTGTGTGAGCTGAGCCAGGACGTGACTGTCCCCCGGGAATGGGCCTCCAGAAAGGGACGGGAGGTGTTTCACGTGCAGGACACCTTTATGCCCACTGGCTCAGGTGACAGAGAGGAAGAGGTTTCAAAACCCCAGTGGGAGTCTGGCTGAGATGCAGCAGGAGGAATCCCAACTCCTTTTGGGCTGGCGGGTGGAACTTTCAGGCATTTTCCAGGCTGAACCCTGGGGCCATGAGGAGCCAAAAGCTCCACTTGTGGTCTCCAATATGAAATACTGGAGAGGGTTAAAACCTGGAGATTCAGTGGTCTCCAGCCAAGGGAAGTGAAGAAGCAGCACACATGGTTG